TCTCGCAGTTTTGTGTTTGCTTACCTGTTTTTTTTTTTTTCGGCTGCTGCCCCACAGAGCCATACAGCACTGTTAAAATTTGAGGGTTTTTTTTTGTCGTTAAGACGAAAACAGGAAGGCCATTTATAGAAAAACAACTGAGTTCCTAGTCAGACTGAAATCGTGCATCAACATAATTTCAAATGTAATATTTTACATGTAATGACCAATCAGAGGTAGCTATTTTAAAATATTTTAAAAACAGCTTTTAATTCCAAGAAAGTATACCCATTTAGAATTTTAAATAAAAATGTATTAATCACAGGAACATAAGACCAGAATGCAAAATTGCAAAATCAATCAAAACTAATTACTTGAAAATTGTTGTTGTTGATAGGCATAGAGATATACAGTATAGATCTATATGTTTATATATTTATGATATACATTGCTTCAAAGTTCATTTCATTTAAGCACAATAATGTAAAACTATTTTTGATCATTCCTTTTTGGCACAACACAAACATCTCTTAAGTCTAGAGACATGACTGCACTTGCTGTATATCTGGACGAGTCAAAAGAGCCCAGTTTTGATTGTAGTCTTGGCAGTGGTGATACTGAGGCTTCTGAGCATGTGGTCTATTGAAATGTCTGCCATTGTAGTCCTGAGAAAGTTTATCTCGTAATACCATTATCGAAAATCAGGAATTAAAACGTGGGTATATTTGAATTGGCAATGTCCTGCAACTGTCAGTATTAAAATTAAATGGCTTTTAGCTCTGTTTAACCAGATTTTAAACATTGACCCTCCAAATAAAAACAGCTTTGCCGCTTCCAGAAATTAGTGAGTTGTGACCTTTTGCCAGAACCCATCTCCAGAGTTAAGATCAGAAACCACACTTCACACAAGGTTTTGCTTGTAACATTTTGCTTTTTTGACTCCAAATGATGTGAAAATTAATATGTGAGCACACAGATTTAACAAGGATATATATACACAAGTGAGGAAAATTATCATTGTATAGCACTGTGTAACAGAGGATATAAAAGGATTTATTCTTTCCGATGCATTATGATTATTCAAAGTGCGGATAAGATCAGCAGCCCTGGCCTGTAGGAGAGTTGCCCATTTTTAAGACAGAGTATTTAGACAGCAGCCGGCTGCAGTTGCTTAGCAGGGTTCATGGACCAGAGATCACAGTCTCTTTCCATATTTAGAGTGTTTGGGGTAGACTGCCATCTTCTGCTGTCAGACACATGATCTGGTCATTGAGAGGTAAAATTCCGTCTGAATTATCAGTAGGTGCCATATTACTTTTCGGATCACAAGCCTACTAACTTGTATTATTCCCAAGCTGTGCTCTGGCCGTTCACCAAACTGGAGCAGAACTGAGCATCTGTGAAGTTCTAGATTGGGCTTTAGCCCCATGCGAGATCCAGGATCAAGACCTCTTCTTTCAGCCACACTCCATTTTCTCATGTCAGACGCAAAAACTAGGTGTGTCATGGAAACTGATCGCTAAAAACAAGGAAGGTATTGAGTTAAGTGACTGGATAACATTATTCAAACTGGACAAAAAACGAGTTGCTAAAACATCTTCTTGTCCTGTAAGAGATGTATGAGGGAAGATCTTAGGCATTGAAACTGCAACACAGAGCTGCACGCTCACCTGTGTTGCTAAGATTTTGGCTGAAACAGTGGCTGTGCAGCAGAAGTTTTCAGATTAGGTATATAGAATTCTCCACATTTTCTATTATGCTGTCCCTAGATGAATTCAAAGTAATTGGGGTGGTTAATTTATTTACACAGAGCAGTTCACAGCACATTAAATAATAGAGATAATTGAACAAGAATTGTCAAGTGTCTTCTGATATCAGACATATTACAGAAGGGAATGTGCATAAAACTTCATTTCTATGCAACCATTGTTTATGGTAATTAAGTACACAGATTTATCCCTTGGTTGCCTTCCAAGCTTATGGCAACTGCTATTGTTGTCCTCCATTAATATGTAATCAGTAAATAGTTTAATTTTCTAATCTGCAGTTTGAGAATTCACTTTCTAACAACTCTTAATTACTGCATTGCCCTAATGATGCTCACGGTTATGAAAATTGAACCAATAAACTCATTGGAGAAGTCAGGGGAATTTTAATTCCTGAGGTGGTGCTTTCTTAATGAACTTGTTATTTCTTCACCAGAGGGAGCAGTGTCCTTCAAAATAGAAAGGCTTTACAGATTTTTTTTCTAACATTTTACTGTAGGTTTTTTGCATTCGTTTCTATTTGCTTCTTTCTATTTCATTTGTGGGTTTGATTATTGCAGTGAGGCTTGTTACAACAGGAAGAAATATATTTGTAGAAATATACATGTATATAAAAAGAAAGCTAAAAGCATAGACCTTTATCGTATTTTTCAAGCATTTTTTTCATAAAAAGATTGTCTTGCAAGGCAGTACATGTTACTTCTTAAGCACCTGCATCCCAAACTGCTTCCCGCAATCTTCAGGCCAACAGGAGA